GGAGATTTAATATTCAATATTAAAAAAGACGCGACGAATGGAACGAATCACCTCGATGTTATCCCGAAGGGAGACTCAATTTCGGATTTATCGTCGAGTCCGCCATTAAAAGCGAATCGGAGAGTTGCGCAACACCTCGAACGTACCAACGGCAAGAATTCGATCGTTACGTTCCCGTTCGATCCCCCGTTATATCCCGCTGACGAATCGATCACACGTCGGGAACTCGCCGGCGAGTTTAAAAGAGTCATAAATAAATTCTGAGAAGCTTCGAAAGCGAGAAAAGCAAAGTCACGATGATTGATCCTACCCGAGGCAAGTGTTTCCTCGTCTCGTAAGCTCTTCTAATGATCGTCTTCGCGGAACTCGCATCGCGTAAGCGAGTCCCATTACGAGTAGTCGCGAGATTTAATCCCTTTCCGTGAGTTTTCGAACTCGTATAAGCCAGCAGCCTCGAACTTTCCGACGTCGCTCGCGGACCGAAGTACCCGGCGTGACTCACGAATTCTACCACGAACGCGCGGCCCGGAAGTTTGTATGCAGCTTACGATGCTCCTGTATGCATCGCGGAAATAGACGAGCGGCGTTACGGGAAGTTTATAAGCGAGCGTTTACTCGATTTTAATTCACGAGCTGCTTCTCCCCCTTCCTCTCTCTCTCGAGCGTTCCGCCCGCGTCGGAAATTATTTTTCACTCTCCGCCCTGGAAATTATAAAACACACGTAAAACGGTGTCTTATAAATAAAGATTCCGCGAATTTTCGCGCGCGCAGCACACCGCGAAGTTATGAGAGAAGAGGATCCATTTTTTCAAAGGGAAAATATCCTCGCGAGATTCCGCGCGCGCACGATCGTTAATCATAATGCCGAAGATCATCGTTTAACTTCGTTCGATGATTGATAAACTCGTTATCATCAATCTCCGCGATAGTTTAGCGCGATGCCGGATAAACACCGCCGTTATTAAAATCTCATTTTCGTAAACGCCTGAGATCGCATGCGAGCCTCGAGTGTGCGAATTTTCCACGAGAGAATAGCGTCTCCCCCCTCCCCCCTATCCTTCCTTTTTAATGCTCGGATAACGCGCGACCTTTAACGCTGCTGACTGGAAAAGCTGTAAAAATGCGATCCAACGCGGCAAATTGCTCCCGCGAGGGGCGTGAGAGATCTAATCGCGAGGATCGCGACGGTAACTTTCGCACGGAGGAGCGCGATAATCCGGGAAGAACCGTGGCGACCTTGCGCCAGGTGATAGCTGAGAAACGCTGGAAAATTCGAAACGGCAATCAAAAGTTGCCGTCGAGTTACGACGGTCTCGACGGCCGCCTTTAAAGAGACTATCCGGGCGCTTTGACAACTTTGAACTTTCGTTCTATCGTTAACTGTGCGATGATTCTCCCTTTCTCTTTCTCTCTCTCTCTCTCTCTCTCTCTCTTTCGCACCCTCTCTTTTGCGAGTTTCGGCGGCCGATTCTCGCGAGTTCGCGGAGTCTGCCGTCCGTCCGAAGAGGGAACGAGTTATTCCCACTTCGAGATTTCTTCGTACTTTACGGAAACTTCGGGGGAAAACTTTCCGAATTCGCCCCCCCCCCCCCTTTCGATCTTACAATATCGTTAATGCGCGAGAGGCTCTCTCCTCTTCGTAGGCCCTGCCTCCACCTCCTCGCCCCACGATCCCCCCGAGGGCGCTCATAAATCATTTTCTTTCGTCGCGAAATCCATCTACGCCCTGCGATTATCTCCCCGCGACGGCGGCAAGGTGGAAACCAGCCAAGGAATTATTTTCTTTCGTGACCTTTGCCATGCCGGAATGCACCGAGCACCGTCGATGAATCGCGCCTCGCTAAGCCGCGAGACAAACGAGCGGCGCGTTCGACGCGAAACTAAATCGAACCCGTCCGGGCGAGGCCGTGCGAGATGTCCGAGGATTACCGAGTGTCCCCTTTGTGTCTGCGGGCTCTCGGGCGGGGAAAATCCAAGGTCGATTTTTCTTCAGCGAGAGAGCAGACGTCCGCAGGACGCACGTTAAATTCGACCCGCTAAACATCCGATCGATAAGGCTCCGATTTTCCACGAAGTTACCGTCGAGTGGCCTCTAATAATGGTAGAAATGAAATTAATAAAAAAAAAAATAAAAAAATAAAAAAAAAGAAGAGAGCAAATTAATTTCGGTCTCTACTTGATTACGTACGTTGCGATATTGCCGCGCGGCTCCGCGTTACTGCAGTTAATATTGATACGCGGCTGAATGATTTTATTAGATTAACGGGAGGGTAGGGGGGTCGGTAGTCTGAATTCTTGCGCGGTTGTCAGGATGACATATCAGCGCGGGGCCCACGCGCTATTGGACCTCTGACGGACGTCTGTGTGTATTTAGGTAAGAGTGGATCCGCGGGCTGGAAATGTACCCCGCGGGATGAATCGATACAAATGTGACATTCAAGTGGCGGTTCGGTTATTTTTGCATGAGATTATAACGGCGTATTTCAGGAGCGCCGGAGTATATACCCCCGACTCGTCAGATCGGAAAAAGACGCGGCGACGTCGCTTAATTATATCCCCCAGATTGGGGAGTTAATAACGATTTCGTGTCAACGCAGGACACGGTTCCGCGCGGAATATGCGATTACGATCGCCGTTATTCTCGTCGCGTTCGTGTCGCCGATCCAGCCAGCCGTCGTGGCGATAAATCGCGAGATTTATGTCGACAAATTTGACAACATAAGCCGCCGGAATAGAACTCACTGATCGCGAGAACAATGCCGAATCGGCATCTAATTTGCATTTATGAAAAGGGCAAAATACTCGCGCTGTCCGTATTAATTAACTGTCGGCGCGACGCGGGAAAGGGAGAGGGAGAGAAAGGGGGGGGGGGGGCCGTTATTTACGGAGAATAATAAATCGTGGCGCCGTGCATACGTACGCGCACACGCGCGTACACAATGATCGCGACGCGTCCTCGTGGAGAGAACTTTCGGAAGCACCGCGAGAAGTGGGACGACCCCCACGTGCGAGCGCGAAAAGGTTCGCGAGCGGCATTCCGGGATTAGCGGGGCGACCTGATCCAATTCTATCGTCGTCTGGTTCGACGATCGCGCTATCTAGAATCCGGGGGCGCACGTCTCTCGCGAAGAGAAATTCATGGCGCAAGCACGCAAGCACGACAGCTATGTCCTCGATTGCCGCCGCGGACGGAAAATCGAGCGAAGGGGACCACACAGGAGACAAACAGCGAGGAAGATAGAGATATGTAGAAAGAGGGGGGGAGAGAGAGAAGCTTTTAGAAGAGAAAGGGGAAGGTGGGGCGGCATTCGCGCACACGACGGACGGAAGTCGGCCGCTAAGGTAGCAACGGACTCTATTCCGGGCTTCCCGATTCCTGAAAGCCCCGAGGGTGCTGCAAGCTCGACTCTATTGATTTCCCGCGTTAAAGGGAAACGTTCCGTGCAAGTAGGCACGTCGTCGTTTTACGCATCGAAAATCCGGAAACACGAGGTACCCCGCCTTCCCCGATCATATCTAATTCAATCACTCGTCTATGTTTTACTACGCGAGTCATTGAGCACAACTCGCTATTTCGCGTGATGAAGCTCCCTCTTTCTCCCTCTCCCTTCCTTTCTCCGTAGTTGAGTTAATTATTAATTAATTGTGTGACGAGCGGTGCAGCGTATTTGATAGCTCTGGGAGCCCATTATCAAAATGAGGAGATCCCGAAGAAGATAATAGCGCGGAATCGGAAAGTTTCGACATTCTCCACGGGTGGATAATTTTGTACATAGAGGTCGGATAAAATATATCAGAGCGCATCGCTCGAAATTCCCGAATGTGCAAGTGCTCGCGAGACAGCTCCATTTATCTCTCTCTCCTTTATAAACGGATTTGCAATTTTATTTAATTTCGGAATATACGCGCTCGGGACGAGAGTGCCAGCGCAATTGTTATCTCGACGCATGATATTTCACGTCGGCGTAATGTCAGCAGGTTTCGTTAAAGATATCCACACGATCGATAATCGATGTCCCATTTTCCGCGCGCTTATCTATAAGCTCCGGCAACACAATAACCGCTGATAACAGCTTCGAGACGATGACGGCGACATCGAAGACGCATTACTCTGCGAGCGCATTACGTCGACGATGCCGCTGAATTATGAAGTGTCCAGCGATTCGGTAAAAATGCCACGGTAAGTACACCGTGCTGACGATCGAAATTGTGGGAAACCTTTCGAAACGGCGATCGATGCCCTCGAGTCGACGACGAGTCGGTTAAACTAACGCGTGCTCGGCGACGCTCGTCTCGAGTGTGCGACGAAGTATGCGTTGCGAAAACGCAACGAGGAAACACGGTCTCTCCTCGGGACATTCGCGATTCCGTACCGCTATCATTGCTATCGCGCGGAGAGGAAGTCACTCGACGCGAGATTATCGCGCCTTGATTCGCGATTCGTTCGCGGCTTGAGCGCTTCGCCGCGACACCGTCGATGAGCGATCTCGCCGAACGTCATCTACTGGTTGCCGTGACCTTACGGAAATTTCAGCCGATTGCGCGGAACAAATATCTGCGGATATTTGCACGGTATTCGAGGAGGTCGATAAGAAGCAGAGAGCTGCGAAGAGTTAATTTCAAGGAGGACTAACGAAAAGGTAAGGAAAAAGAACTCGCGAGAGGGGGGTGAGGAAAAACGGATTCGTCGACGCACTGTCTGACGATTTCAGCGAAATGCTAAAATTCTATTTTCATCGCCGCGACTCGCCTCCCATCGAGGGGAGAATTTTCGTTATCTGAACAATTTGATACAACACGGAAAGTGGGTTGTTCGGATAACGATTAATTAAATTTATTTGTATGGCGCGTGGCGCGCTGAATCACGCACATTTATAGCGCCCGCGTGGAGCATTATGCGGAATGCAAAGAGCACGTCGATACACCTCATATTTACGATATTTGTTATCGTAAACTATGCAGGACGTTTAATAATAGAACGAAATTGGATTTCACTCACCACAACGAGCGCGTGCGTCAGAGCAGTCGATGACCTCGACCTCCTCGGTGTCATGCCGACGACCTCGCCCCTCATGATGCTCTCGACGACTGGGTGTGCGAGAAAAAAGCGAAAACGCCTATCAGCCACGTTTCGAAAATGTTCAGCGTGTTCGGTAATCGTTCCGAAAATTACGATAAAATCCGCGTTAAAAACTTTCGGGAGGGCGCGGTGCGGTCCTTTCGATATTAAATTTTGATTTCAATATCAGATCACTCGATCCTTCTCTGATGACAAGAAGGTATTTTGAACAATATTAAATGGAACGAGATATGAATAAGTTGAGTTAAAAGTTATCGGGAGAACGCGATGTTGTTGTTCGAACTTTCGAATATGAAATTTCGAATTTCGTATCAGATAATTCAGTATCTCCGATTACTCATTGAAGATATTTTCAACCACATTACACAGATAAGTGCGTAGTATCGAGCGATTAGTTTTCTTCAAAATCTCCCATCTTCTCTCGATTTGATTGCACGGAGTTGCCGATTAAACGCGTGCGGTCTCATTCCAAGCTAACGTTTCTTACCTCCATCGCCGATAAGCCGCATTTGTACTAAGGTGGGATCCTCGTTGTGATCTTCGAGGACCGTGTCGTCGGTGACAGTCAGGTCCTGGAAGTATATTAAAAAGAGAGAAGTGTCATTAAAGTTCGTATAAACCTATCACGGATCTATCAGGCGCAATTAATCCGCTTCGCGTCGCGCGATCTCCCGTTAAAAATAAAGCCAGATCGCAGACGAGCACTCTTCGATCCGCAATTACCTACACGCTCTGTTCCATCTCTCTCTTTCTCTCTTCCTCTTTCGTCATCGATATCCTCCGTCGTTAAACACAACGGACGTCGTAAATAACCGCTATTCGCGGCGATATCGGAGAGCCGAGACACCGGTCCGTCTTTCAGGTTCGTCGATCTCACGAGCGATTGTATTCGCGTTGCCCAACGATCCACATCTGCACTTGCCTCGCGGGCGCGTTAATCGATTTCGATTCTTCCGAGAAATTTCGCGATTCCCCAAAACGCGCGCGCGCGCGTCCGTCCCAATTTGCGGGTCAGAGATCGGTCGATCGACGGTCTGGCTGCTCGTTAAGACCCGTCACGATCGACGCCTCCCCTTGTCAATACGCTTAACTGATCGGCGACGAGACAGAGTCGTCCGCCGATTGCGAGATACGTGACGCGGGCCATTCGTGTCTGCCGGCCATCGATTTCCGGCGAGAGCAATTTTTGCCGGGAAAAGGACGTTTCTCGATTCGCATTCTTTTCGGTTGTCTTCCCTCTGTTTTGTTTCCGAGCGCGCGCGAGAAAAGCCCGACGTCATGGAAGCGTTCGTCTGATACATCAAACTAAACGGAACTCTGCGATTTCGCATTCGCATTAATTTATCAATGTATCGCGTAATGGATGATAATGCAGGCGCTTTTTGCCTCGCGTGCGTTTTGACGGCTCCTCGTCTCCTCCGCGGGGTATTTCATTAGAGTCTTTGTCCGCAACGAGGCGGACGCTACGACGGGGAATATTTGAGTAAACTTCAACGAGCAAGCGATTCGATTCCCCTGGCACTTTAGAGGAATATTCGCGATAGACGTACGCGATGGGTATAAAGAGACGGAGAGACGGAGAGACAGAGAGAGAGAGAGAGAGAGAAAGCGAACGACAAAAGGTTGCCGCGACAACCCACCGATATTTTATGTTCCTACGCCCTTCGATCCTTACACCTTTTTCCGGAACGTTTCCTCGTCGCTGACTATTTCAGGGATTTAGTTTTCCAATAGGAATGCCGCGCCAGTGCCAGGATAAATTATCGGAAGCTTTCGCCGAGAGGCAAGACGAGGAGGAGGATTACCTTCGCGGTGAGTCTGTCGTTCGTTCCAACGTCTTAAGATGTTTAACGGTAAAAAGGACGGGAATATCGGGCAGAGGAAGAAATTGGCTCGACGGAGAGCCACTTCGCCGAGCGCGGTTACGTCTTCTTTCGGCGCGACGCGATGAATCAGCAGCGAGTTTCAACGCGCTTTGTCGTCCGTTGTGTTTCACGACGAGTGCGACACGAGTACAATCGTTGAAAATAGTCGCGGCGCGAACGTTAAGCGCGGTTTTACGCTAAACGTGGCGCCGATAAATGATTGCTCGACGTTCAATAGGCGCGATCTAATTGCGGCGACTAAAATTGGAACTCTTCCTTTAGCTCTCGTCTCGCTATCAATCACGTCGCTAATGGATTGATCCGTATTAATGAGGCTCGATCCAAGTATGGAACACGCAATATCGAATAAAATTTCATCTCCCCCCTTACACATCGCCTCAGTATCGATTCGCACGCGGAGAAGACAAAGCCGTTAAAAATAGAGACGCGTGACGATCGAGCCTGCCGATTTCGTCCGAACGACATTTCCGACGCCGAATCGCCCGCGAATATCGAGTGTTGCGCGCACGAGACATATTGGAAACTAAGAAGAATGCGAGATCGGATACGAGATCGCGGACGATAGCGGAGTGGAAAGTCCGAGTAGCCGCAGTGCAGCTTGGACAGTTTCCGTCCGGGAGATCGTCATGATATTTATTATCCGACCGGTCTTACCTTGGTGGACTCGTTGTAACCGACGATCACGGCTGTGTACCATTGTGTGGTGCCTTCCGCCCGATAAACTTCGACCCTGAAACCGACCAGGACGCTGGGCGTAGTCAGCAGGATTCTCTGGCCGTCCTGCATCTCGGCCCATCTCCTAACGGCGTTTCCCCAGGGCATCGTGCCCTTAGTCAGCTCCCAGTCCTGCTGCAAAGACGAGGAAAAAGGCCGTAGTTGAAGGTTCGTCCGTGGAACTTGATTAAGAAGGGCGGTCTACTCCCCGCACATCCGAAGAAGCTGTCCGCGATTTCGGTGGAGGAAATGAGGAAGGTAGGAGGCGAAAAATCCGGTGCGATTTCGTGAGAGATCACGAAGGGAGTAAAAGCGACTGCGGGCCGAGTTTTGTATGACATTGTTTCTTTCATCGCTTCTAGATCCGATGAGAGTTTCAGTCGATCAATTCGCTAATATGAATCTTGAAAGTGTCCCGGATAAGTTCACTTAGAAACAATCGCACGGAGAGACATCGGTGGATCGGACGTTTTTACTTAAAGTAACGTTAAATTCGCATAAGTAGGCCGGTGACGCTAACTTTTCCGTAAAATCGCGGTTCACTCGCTTTCGCACATATTTTCAGCCATTTTAGCAGCCTCTGCGGCGCTGAAAATACGAAAATACACGCGCCAGCATTGCCGGGTTTGTTTGCAATTCCGTCGGTTTACTTCGCCGCATCTCATAATGAATGTATTTTAACGGGCGATAATAATATCACTGAGATATCCGTTGGTCGGATATCTCGAAACATCGTTAAATTAACATACAGGGTGACTCGCGAAAATATTCAAGCGACCTCGTTCAATTTGCAGATGAGAGTGCCGTACGTTCGGCCGCTTCCGTCGGCGATGATCCCTAACGTTGTCGGTGTCGTTAATACGCTAAATAAAGAGACGCGTTCTGTTTCATTCCGCATCGCCGTGCTCGCGATTCCGTTTTTACCTCGCGCGCGTTAATGCGATTACAACGTGTCACGTGTGGGATAACGGTTCGATATGTGCGCGACGCGAACGATGGCACCGAGACACTCGAAATATCAAATCCGTCTAGCCGGGACCGAGAAACGCGCATTATCGCGTTTGCCTCTTCGATCGGCAGCCGATATCGGAATATATTATCCGCGCGCGCGCGCGCGAGAAAGAGAGAAGGAGAGAGAGAGAGAGAGAGAGAATACAGCGTCAGTCGAGCAATTAGATCCGACACGACCGGAATCGCCGTTGAAATATTTAACGTTCTTTTACCGTCGAATCTACAATCGGATATCCCGCGATGATTCTCCGCAAATTAAGATGTCATCGAGATTGCGGCATTGAAAAACGTTAATTACGCTCGCGTCTGGCTCCCCAGGCGTCCATAAAATATCCAAGGAATGCGGTTAATTAATATGAGCGACACGGACGATACATCGTTCGTATCACTTACGCGGACAATATACATTTTGTATCAACGATAACGACGAGTCTGGCCTTTTTTCAGACGATCGCTCCTCTCCCGACGACGACGAGACGTCGTACAGGCTCGCCCGAGCGAGCACATCTCCTCGCGTTACGCCATCGCTACGCCGTTACGTCAGACGTGTTATGCAATCGTTGCGCACAGCGTGACGGCTCGAGGCGCGTTAATGGCGGTAATACAACGGCAATTAGAACGTTATTACCGAAGCGTCGAGAGCACTTAACGTCCGCAACGTGCTCGCGAAACGCGATTCACGGGACACCCCGTACGGGACAGATCTATCCGCTTCTCCCATTCATTTCCTATTCGCGGATCTCCTTCCCCCTCCCCCCGTGATTTCCACTCGACTTCGCCTAAGAGGAATTCTCATTCTCGATTATCGAGATATTTAACATTGACGGTTAACGCGAGAAGATCGACGCGCGGAATTAATCCGCCGTAGACGCTCCGCCGCTTTCCTCCGCGAGAGCGCGAGAGAATCTCTTGGAAAATTCACCGACCGATCGGTAGGAGAGAAACGCGATCGGGACGATTTATCGACGCGAACGGCCGCGACCTAGCGACAGGAGGCATTACGATTCGACCAGATTTAACGGCGCAAGTTTAAACTTCTCCTCCGGCCGCTATTATCTTATGTTCGCTACGGTTTGCATATTTTTTCAACTTCTCCGCGGTTATTCCTAGAGTCTTCATTACGCCTGAATGAGCCCAACGAGACGAATGCGCCCGGCGAGTGGAAAGGCGACCTCGTAGAATCGAAAGTTCGTAATTACGCAAATAATAATTACCTTTCGAGACCGAGAGCGCTTTGAACTCGATCTATTCCGCGGACTGACATCGGCTGAAGCGCTACGGCGCAAACTTCTACATTCGTTGTAATTCAAAACACGTCGATTTGATATCGCGCGTGATACTTCTCTCTCTCCGTAAAACCCGTACAAGATTGACCGATGTTAATGAACGAAACGTTATCTTATAATCGCATCGATTCCGCGGCTTAATGTCGAGATCACCAGGATGATACGATGACGTTAGATCTCGACATCGAGACATCAGAGGAACACCGCGATGGTATCAGACGCTAGATTGCGTCTTCATATCGTTCGCGGGAAATTATTGGCCGCTCTCGCGAAAAATCGTGCTCCGTCGCGCGCGCGCGAGATGGGAAGACGCGTGAAACATTGAGGGACGTGTTATATAATAATATCGATTAACGCGCTCTCCCGTCGCGACAATCATACATTCGCAAGTGTCCCGCCGAGCGAGATGTCATTCGGATAAAGAGTGCTCTCGCGAATGTATGCCGCGCAACGGGTCCATATGAATGTGTAGCGCTCTCCGTCTTTAAATTATCATCTAAATTATCTCGTCGTGCGACGCGTCCGTCGGCTGGCTGTCCTACACCTGCGTAAGTACCTGCGTGTGTGTACGTAGCCTCACATCTCTCTCTCTCTTTCTTTCCCTCTCACACTCGCAATTCCCTCGTCCATCATAAACGAAAGTGCTGCGCAAATAACTAACCGACCGACGCGCTCGGCACAATTTGTAGCTATTGTAAAGTCATCGTGCGCGCTCATGACGGCGACGTAATCGACATTTTGCGCAACGACATACGGCGTCCGGAGCAGAAGGAGACCCCCGGCGAGAATATTTTCCGCTCGCCGATCGTCGAACGTCGCGTGTGCGTCGAATCGCCCGAATCGAGAAGCGCCTCGATCCACGTCTGGAAGCGTATCAATTATAACGCCAGCACGGCCGGCGGGGCTGGTCTCAGGGTCGATCAGATTATCCGACGACCGCTGAATTATTCGTACGCACGATAATTCGATCCGGGAGCGTCAATCGGACCGTTCGTTCCTTATTTACGTGGATTATACGAGGCCGTGTGTCTCGCCCGGCCGGCTTTCCAAAGGGGTTTCTCTTTCAAAGAGCGCCCCCCTAAATCCCGTCCGATCGTATTTCCCCGCGATTTTAATCCAGGGGCCACGATGGAATTTCCGAGCGGTGTCTCGTCGAGACGAGTCCGATCTTCCGCGCCTGCCTTCGATTATCATACCGGACACGAGGCCGGCAGGTGCGTTATTCTTCCCGCAGATCTCCAAATGCCCGTCACACGATCCGTTTCAATAGAATCAAGTTATCGAGCGGTTAACGCACGGGGCCATTATTATCGTTCGTACCGTTCTTTTCCGAGCGAAACTCCAAAGGGAGATCCGCCGAGGCGTCGCCTCCCTCGGGACGAGAAATTATCGGTCGGAAAAATCCACGCCAGGTTGTGTCGGCTGTTATCGCGTTCTATCGCGCGGCTTCTCATTAGCAGTTGCCAACGCGCCAGCTAATTAATTGAGGAGGTTCCTTAATTAAGAACCGCGTTCGCCGTTAATCGCGATGCGCTCGTGGCGCGAGGCCCAAGTGCCGCCATCGGTCTGAAGGTAACTATAGGCAGGTGATTGTCACGAAGGGCGAAGCTTAAATCGACGAGTACACGGCAGATGCGTGTAATGAAGGATCGCCTTTCGGACGGGGCCGTTTTTTCTCGCGCCCATATCCGCTCGGATAAAATCGGGCCGCTATTTCGCCGACATTCTCCCTATCGGCCGTATGTATGTACGTATGTAAGGTCTTATCGGCTCGCGCTAAGACCCTGCCAATGGCCGATAAATGCCCGGCGAGTTCGCGGCGTCATTTATAATCGGAGCCGTTTCGTAACTGGATAGTACACGGACGCAAGCCCGCTTTGTAGAAAGTTAACCTTCGGGGCTATCTCGCGGCGTAAGGTATCCCTTGACTTGATTTCAACGACGGATCCCTCCCGGCGAGTTTATAGCCGATATGTTTCCCCCTTAGGGGAAATTCCGCACGGATAACTTATCGCATTACCGCTGCTGATACCGCGTCTCGCTAATTAGACCCCGTGATTACTCAAATCCCGAAAGCATTCCTCCGTGATTCTTTGTGATAATTCTAAATCGAAGTATCCCTAAAATGCAATCGAAATCCTATCGAAAGTTCGCCCGGGATCTGGAATTCAATTAGGACCCGGGCGGAGTTCAGTTTTAACTAGTCGCGCGCATCTTTGAAGGTACTCTCTCTCATAATCATTTTCGAAGTTCAAACGGGGAGTGATTAAGCCGATCTCCCATTCTGTACGAATGAATGGAATTACTTTCCGAGATAAGAGGCGGAGGGAGAAGATTTTCCTCCGGCTTCTTTCGCCACCAGGACTCCGGTGCGAGGATCGCGCGAAGACAAGCCGAGGGTACAATGCCGCGGCGTCGTGCTTGGCCAAAGACCGTTAGACAGAACGGGAATATGTTGGCGCCTCGGCTTGGCTGTGTTCCAACGTTCCCCGATGATCGTGTGCACGCGCGCACTACCGACGTGGGTCGCCAAACCGGCAGCGATGCCTCCGGCGAGAAGGCTGCCAGCCAACGGCCATCGGCGTCGCTAGGATCTTCCTCGAGGACGGAGGTGGAAATTGTAACAGGCTTCTCGCGTTCCTCGCCCGCGTTAAGGAACGACGCGAGTATTCGAAGATATCCGCGATTAAAGCTACACGGTAATAAGAATGTTGCGTTAAAAACGGTTCGCTGAATATTTTTTATTATTTTAACATGGAAAATGTGTGTGAAGTATACAAGTATAATGTTAAATTAACAAATTCACCTTGTCGGCGTGTTATCTTTTAACTTTTGATATTCACGTAGTAACGCGAAATTTCACACGGAGACAAACATTCGGCCGGTACAGCGAATTGTCAGTTTTACTATAACGACAGCAAAAAGATTTGTTAAGAGCATCAATTGTTTCTGCTGGATATATGTACGGCAGAATAATTTGGTTGCGTCAACTAAATTTAATCGCTGTCACAACGACGTTTCGCTAAAATGGTAAAGCTCCCGTCTGACAAATCGTTTTGCCATGTCACCATAGTGCAATTGACTGATAATCCGCCGTGCCAGCGACGCATTTTCCTTCGTGAACCGTTTCTAACGCCAAATTTTTCACCGTATACAATCCGAATTTGTCGCGGGATCTCAAAATCTCTCGAGTGTATCTCAACGATTAAATGGACCCCGAACCGGAGTGAAGGGTTCGTAGATTTAAACCGTCAACCGGATTGCGCGATATAGAAAGCGTAGAATGCGAAGGAACGCGGTTGCGCCCATGGCTAACGACGATGCAACGAGAGCAGCAAAGCGAAAGCCTAGACGTCGTCTTGAGAAAGAGAGAGAGAGAGAGAGAATGTTGCGCGCAAGTGCACGCGTGCACGTGAGCGCGAGGAGGTATATGCGGCGCGATGCAGCGAGGAGAAAGAACCCGTTGCATTTATAGTTCAGGGTCAGCACACTCGCGCGGTTCTCGCAACTCGGAGCGAATTCGGCCCACCTCCTCCTCCGAGCGCGCCGTTTCTTCCCCCTCCTCCCTCCTTTTTTCCTTCCTCTCGCACTTAACCATCGACTTTCTCCTTTTCCCGAGCGAGCCGGGCAAAACAGCGCGGCGCGAGTAAAGATCTATAGCCGGTCGTGAGAGAGAAAGAGATTGCACGTTAAAGTGAGAATCGATTTATCATCGCGGAGAGAATCCAAGGAGACGCCGCCACCTTAGCGAGGCGCTTCGTTTGTCGGGGTTTTGCACGAGACAACGGTTCGTTTCTCAAGATCGGCCGTGAGTGTCGAACGTCGTTTCGAGTTGAAGGACTGGCGAGGAAATTTGGCGGTCAATATGTCACGAGCGGAACACGGACAGAGCGGTGGATTGTTAATAGTCCGGGTAATTCGGAAAGTTATTTAATCCTCCGGTCAAATAGTCCTCCGAGCCCTTCCGCGTCGAACGCTCGCCGAGGTAGGTTTTAACGCTCGCGATATTCAACCGTGAGACAGCAGTTCCAGATTTCTGACGTGGCGGCAGAAATCTCGCGCGGATCGCGAAAAGGTAATCCGTCTTGTTTTGAGATCGTCACGCGGACGGCAGAGAGCGGATCTGAAAGGTGAGAGACACATCTGAACCTGACCGCCGTCTGAAAGTTTTCGCCGCACGTAAACGACTTACAAGCCCGCGCCGCCCCGACGAAACCGGGGGAAAGTTTAAACGGTAAAAGTTTCCCGGTAGTTTAATTACTTGGAAACAATTCCACCTCGCGCACTCTTCCTATCCGGTGTAACAGAAGTGCGGCAACTTCCGGCCGGCCACACACACACACACACGTATACACACACGCACACGATGATCTCTTTCCCCTCGCTGGAAGAGAGACAGGTCGATCGATGAATATTTTGTTCTTTCCCTCGCGTGTCTCGCATTTCTTTATCTCGAATCCTCGCTGACGAGGACGCTGACGACACACCGGCATTCATTACAGCCGTCTTAAACCGATCCGATGAAGAGTCGGTTAAGTGACGTCGCTCAAAGGTCGAAGGTAATATCGGAGTTTATTAATCGCGTTTGTAGAGGCGTCGCGCAACCCGGCCGATTCTATCTCCCGTGTCTAATGGAATACTCGATGAACAGTACTATAACGGATTGCGAGAGGGGGAGGAAAAACGGTTGAACGTGTGATATAGCGCTCGATAACTCGCTTATGAGTGGGAGCTTCGATAACACGGGCGGATAAGCCGGAATAAAACGCGCTACCGGGAGTGGAGTGAGAAAAAAAGGAAAATTCCAGCGCAGTTGCGACGGGGGATCGTATCAACGAGAGAGCGGCAGAGCCGACGTCGCGGATGTAAGTACTTCTCGTGCGGCGCGAGACCGTTAATCTAGATAATTCATACGGCCGCGGCGCGCTGTGTTATTCGCGCGGTAGAGACAATGCTTTCGGGATGCGCGAGTCTACGCCCGCTAATAAGTTCCCGCGAATTCGTCATTGCGGAATAGGAGAGCCGGGTATCTCCGCAAGAAGGAACATCGCGCCGGCAAGTTCGGCCGTATAATTCCCGCGCACCGCGCGAAAGTGAAACGGAAACTCGAGTCAAAGTTCGGCTCCAGCCGGCAAGTTCGGTCGAGTCTTCCGCGTGTTGTAGCTCTTATACGAGAAGTTGGACAACGAGTCCCGTGAAAGATTACTTACAGCAGCAGCGACGGAAGAGAGAGACGCATGTCCGTTGCCCCGGAGGGGTGTCGGACGCGCCAATGGCTGTGAAACTTGTTCCCTAACTAAGTTCCATCGTCCCTAACGAAGTAAGTTTCCAGTCGTAAAGCGGAAGTGGCCGCAGCGGCCGAACTCGCGCGGGCTCTTAATCGCTTCGGGATCCCATCGCATCTCGCGCGTGAAATGCGCGCGGGACGCCGCGCGTCGCGGAAATTAGGAAGGAAACGAGATAACGAATTGCGTCAATGTACNCCCCCCCCCCCCCCCCTCGTACGGACCCAGTCACCGGAAATTGTCTCCGTGCTTCTCGCTCGCGCAAATTTCGCGCACGTTTTACGTCCCTCGCATTCCGCCGTCGCCGTGGCGGCGAGGGAGCAGGTGCAAGCGCTCTCCGGTGAATGACCGATTAAGGAATGCCGTTGGATTATTCAGTCCTTTCGCCGAACGAAAACGTCAGTTTCGTTTCGCCCCGGGTCTGAGACGTGGGACGAGGGGTGTGTTAAATCCGCCGATGCCGTTACCGCGGCGAAAAGTGCACCGTGTTCGCGGTGAGACACAGGAAGCGTCATTTCATCGCATGCGACTGCAAGGAGGAAGTCGCGGGATCGATAGTCACGTATGACGCTCCAAGTCTCAACAATCGGAGGCCATTCCGAGTGGGTACTTACGGTGAACGGTTTCAGCTTCGAGTAATCGACGAAGTCCAGTTTGCGGTCCTGCATAAACTCGATCGGCATGGCGTCCTCGTGCAACTCCGCGCGTGCCACGAGCGGATAGAAAGTCTGGAAGCACAGACGGTCCTCGATCATCTCGCGAAATGACACTCCGGCCGAGCGGCACGTTTTCGTTATTTTACGTTTGCGTCCGCGTTGCATTTATTAATTCAATTTCATCTCTGATTAAAAACAAGAAAAATGGAGAAAAAATTTATCCAATATTCCGGCGGACTGAAATTAATTATTATTAAATGGGGGGGAGGGAAAAAAAGGGGGAAAAGAGCAGCAACGCAACGGCGATCCTTCCCGGGCGGTATTTACCGTTCCGTGAGTGAAGTTTTGATTTTAGAATTTCGCCTCAAAAATCCACACAGAAGGCAAAGTTTAACATTATATAAATGTAATTACTTTTGCGCCGTTGAATCTACGCAAAATAATTAAGCTCGCTCAATCGGAGTATTAAAATTTTAACGAGCAAAAAAGCACCGAACCAATGGAACGCGCGGCGAGTCTGTTTTATACCGGTCGAATTGTGTCGATCGTAAAATTTATTCAACGGGAATGGAATCGGGGGTATTTCATTAATTAACCACGGACTGATTAATATTCGAATGGGTGGCGAGCATCCTCATTTACCGCCGATAAAATATGAAAGATTTGCATGAAAAATGGTAACCCGTGACAACGTCCGTATATAATTCGAAGGAAATCGCACGCGATAAGTTGATGAATTTCACGCATATTACATACGTGATTACGAACGCGTGTGTTTTTCCCGACAATATTTTCGACGTTCCAAATGATCCCTGAAATATTTTACGATGGAGAGGGGGGGGGGGGCAAAAAGTTAACTCCAGCTCGTAACGCATTCTCGTATAAATAAAAAGGAGAGACATTTTGAAATAAATGCGTGAAATATTTGCGCAAAGTTTTCCACGCTATCCTTCAAACGCGCGCTCATCCATCATCATTCCAGGTCCGAGCTTTATGAAAAGTCGAAAAGCGGAAGGCCGCTACACTTTTCGCGATCCTCCGACGTTAACGAGGAGAGATCGCGACCCGAAGTCTCGTAAGCGGCGAACTCGAGCAGAATTGATTTTTACTTACGAGAGCCGGCCAAGCAACAGTGTCGGCGACCGCCGTGGCGCCCCTGAGCGGTTTCCCGTTAATGCGATGCTGATGGTGGTTATTGTTCGCGTGATTGTGATGATCGATAGGGATGAGACTGGCGTGCCTGGGGTCGGGTCGTTCGGCCCAGTAGAGACCTCGTTCGATGAGAAAGAAGGAGAACACGGCATCCCTGTGAGGCGACAGCCACTCTCTCCTTTGCCACTCCACGTCGTCGTATTCTACGAGGATCTGCAAGCATAGGACGGAAACGTGCGTGTGTATCGAACGTATCTCACCCGTCGAGAGTTCAGTCCGACGATCGAGGCTTGATCTCCTAAGTGTCGTATCGACGAAGGTTATCTCCAAGGCGACAGACTCGTCCCGAATATCTCGGAGGAAAAGTCAGCTCGAAAATATCTCCTTGGAACGGATCGCGGCGACAGACGCGTCGCTTCTCCGTTCGTTGGAGAAATATTTCCGACGTGGTGCAATATTTTCGAGCGATCCTCCCCGGATTAAGCGGTATTGCGAGAATAATCCCGCGCCGTTCTTTCTTTAGCGAGTCACCGCGCGGGTAATGACGCGCGAAATAATGCATCTCGATCGCGCGCGGCGCTAATTGGAAGCTTTCAAAACAGCGGTCGCTACATACGAGGTGAAATCCGTACGGGTTCTATTTATTCCGCGGAATCACGGACAGAGAGAGAGAGAGAGAGAGGAGAGGGTTAAGGATTAAACCGCTCTCGACAATGAGCGGTTATCGTGCGCGAACGATGCGAGGGCGGGACCTTCCCAGCCTTCCACGTAACGCAACCATCCAGTTAATTATCGGCGTCTGTTATCGCGATATCCATGCGTGCTAATGCGTTATCGAGCTTCTCGCTCGATCCTCCAGGAACACGCGCGCAACAAAATGGCGCGCCGATGAATTGTCACGAATACGCCACGATGAGAAAGAGGCCGGACGGAGAGGGGGTGGGTACATACACGTGGGAATGGCGCAATTAATATGTATTATTCATAACCTCCAGGTTGGAGCAGAAAGCGCGGAGGCTGTCGGGATAACGATGGGTCCGGAGGCAGGGTGTAGTAGGATTTGCACACGCACGGTTTACTCACGGGCCTTGTCAGCGCGACAGATTCGACGCTGAGAGCGGGCTGAATCGAATGACGGATGGTCATTCCGTGTTCTCTTCGCGCCGAAAGCGCGTATCCTAATTTCACGGAAATTCCATCACGGACGTCGCTCGTCGAGTCTCCGATTTCTTCGGATATTTCCGGCCGCGAAACTTTCGCGGGGCGAAATTTAGAATCGGGATTTTCCTTCGAGCGAAATATC